CACGGACCGCACCCCCCCCGGCTCCCCCCTCCTGTCAGGCAGTTGTAGGGAGCGATAAGGGCTCCCCTCAGCCTCCCCTTCTCCAGGTTGAACACCCCCAGCTCCCCCAGACGCTCCCCAGCAGCCTTGGGCTCCAGACCCCTCCCCAGCTTCCTTGCCCTTCTCTGGACATGTTGCAGATAGGAAATAGTTGGTCCAGAATGAAGCATTTTGCAGGAATGTGTCCATTTAATCTCAGTGTGTTAAGAAAACCAACATATAAAGTTTAAGGAAAACATTGCAATTAGTTCCAGCATTAATTTCAACATCAGCTTCTTATTGCAGCATTATCCTGTTGATGCCACAATGCTCAACTTCTTTAGCACGTGTGCACGATACCATTTCAACTCAACACACAACATATACATGTGGGCTTCTTGTGTTACAATTTGAAACAAAAGAAGGGTTAGAAATCGAAGTTTCCTGCAGACAAGCAATTCTACCAGCCCAGACACAAATTCTCCCCAACAAATAACAATTTGTAGATTAATGACAAGGTACGTGGCACATTCGAAATACAGCCTTTCCAAAAGGAGATGAGAAGCAACTGCTGGTCATCTCTTGCTTGTTGCCTTTGGCAAAAGACAGAGGCAAGTACACCTCAACAAGGTGTTGGTCACAAAACCCCCCTGAACAGCATGAAAAAGCCCCATTATATGATGGATCAAATACTCTGGCCAGCATCCACCACACAGTTCGCACAGGCCTAACACTGAGCTTAGGCTCTGGTCTGCCATTAACTGGATTGCTGGAGAGTGCTTCCCTGCGTTGGGAAGGGGGCTGGGGTAAAGCCTCTTCTCCCTCCGGTGAGAGATCCCCTTTCCGAGACGGCTTCTCCTGGGAAAGGAGCAGGGCTAAGGAGAGGTACGTGTACAGAGCGGTAGTCCGCTGGGGACCCCGGCTTAGCTTGATATGATCGCGTATAGGACGGCAATCGTGACTATGCATCTCCAACGCCAGAAGTGTTTGCTCAAAGATTCTCACTGAAATTTGTTTTTACCCACTAGCCTTCCTCAAATCTAAACATTGTCACTATAGACAGAGGCCTGTCCCATAGAAGTTTAAATCAAGACTTCAGAGAGCCCGTGCTATCGCCCTTCTCTACCTTAATCCACCCCTTCTTGGCAGAGTGCGCTTGGTGGTCTGAAAAATCATTAAAAATTACATCTTTGCTTCCGGCAGCAGCTGGCAGCTTGGAGCTGCAGTCCTGTTTAAACTGTCCCTATTCAGCAGAGCTCTGAAACAAAGATGAGTGCTTAAATATCAGTGTTGCTTAAGTAGTGATAATGTTCCCCAGAATTCTGGCAAATGTGCAAGTGCCACAGCACCTCCCGGCTCTCCACGGGTGCTAAACACGTACACATTCCCTGCCCAACTGTCGCAGGATGCAGCACTCATCAACTCCCACCCCGCAGCAAAGACACAAAACCCACAAACACAAAGGCTGCATAGAATAAACCAAACTTTGTATATAAAAAAACCCAAAGCCAACAGTGCATGGTATTCTACCTGTATTATTTGCACACTAAAAATACAGCTTCACATTGAAGTACATCTCTATAAGCAAAAATAGATGAAATCACAGCATAGGGAGCTCAGCTGACCGCGAAAGCAGTGGGTGTAACAATCCAAGGAGCTGCCACCACGATCTGAACTGCTTTTCCTGTAGTACGTTCAGGCTACAACACTGAAGAGGTTAGATCTGTACTGGAGAAACCCTTCTGGCCACGGAGTATCAGGAAACAGTGCAGAATCCCAGAATCCCAGAAGGGCAGGGGTTGGAAGGGCCCTCTGGAGATCACCCAGTCCAACCCCCCTGCTCAAGCAGGCTCACCCAGAGCAGGGTGCACAGGACATCATCCAGGTGGGGGTTGAGTATCTCCAGAGAAGGAGACTCCACAGCTTTTATGCTTTGCAGGAGGCTAAAACCTAAAGCAAAAGGCCAGGCAACTGTTGGCATTTAGAGGGTGCTCGTAGCACAAGCACAACTCCAGAGCAGGTCTTCATGGGG